TGGAAGTCCTACAGCTGATAAACACTTTCATCAAACTAGCAGGATACAAGATAAACTCCAAAAAAAGTCAGTATCCCTACAATTTTCAGGCGACAGATGAGAAAAAAAAGATATCGAAGAGAAAAATCACCCTTTACATTAGCCACAAGCAACTTCAAATATCTTGGGGTAACATTTACCAAACAAGTGAAAGACCTATATAATGTCTTGGTCGCTCAAAACAAAGAAATTAAAGATAACAGAAAATGGAAAGATCTCCAATGCTCTTAGATAGGTAGGATAAACATAGTAAATATCCCGGCACCTACAGATTCAATGCGAATCCCAATGAAAATCCCACCACAATTCTTCACTGACCTTGAAAGGAAAATAATCAACTTTATATGGAATACAAAATACCCAGGATAGCCAAAACAACCCTACTAAAATAAAAGAACTTCAGGAAGCATCAACATTCCTAACTTTAAGCCTCTACTACAGAATTATAGTTCTGAAAAAAGCCTGGTATTGGCATAAAATAGACAGGTAGACTATGGAATCTAATTGAAAATCCTCATATTAAACCACATACTATGAACACCTGATTTTTGACAAAACAGCAAAAATTATACAATGGGAAAAGGACAGCATCTTCAATAAATGATGCTGACACAATTGGATGAGGGTGTGTAGAAAGATGCGGATAGACCCATGTCTGTTGCCATGCACAAAACTAAAGTGCAGATGGATCAATGTCCTCAACATCAATCCAGCCACAATGAACCTCTTAGAAACGAAAGTAGGAGGTACCCTTGAACAAATTGGTATAGGAGACAGCTTCATGAACATAACTCCAGGGGCACAGACACTGAGACAAACAACTAATACATGGGACCTCTTCAAACTTTTTCTCTACCTTAAAGCAAAGGACACAGTGGACAAGACCAAATGGAAGCCACAGAATGGGAAAGATGTTCACCAATCCTATATCCAACTAAGGGCTGATCTCCAAAATATACAAACAACTCAAGAAAATAGTCAACAAAACACCAAATAAGCCTATTAAAAAATGGGTTAGATAAATGAAGAAAGAATTCTCAATAGAGTGGAAATCAAAGGCTGAGCGACACTTAGAAAATGCTCCCCATCCTTAGCCATCAGGGAAATGCAAATCAAAACAACTTTGGAGATACCATCTTACTCTTGCCAGAATGGCTAAAATTAGAAACACAAGTGATGACTCATGTTGGAGAGGTTGTGGAGAAATGGGAACACTCCTCCACTGCTGGTGCAAAACACAAAATCATACAGCCATTTTGGAGATCAGTATGGCAGTTCCTCAGGAAAATGGGAATTAGTTTACCACAGGACCACGGCAATCCACCTCTTAGACATATACCCAAATGATCCACGTCCATGCACAAAAGACATCTGTTCAACAATGTTCTTGGCAGCACTATTTGTAATAGCAAAAACCTGGAATCAACCTAGATATCCCTCAATTGGAAGAATGAATAATGAAGATGTGGCACATCTACACAATGGAATACTACTCTGCAGAAAAAAATTAATGGTATCTTGAAATTCGCAGGCAAGTGGATGGCACTTGAAAAAAACCATCCTGAATAGAGGTAACCCTGTCACAAAAAGAGGAACGAAGTATGTACTCACTCATATATGGACGTAGACCCTAGATCAGTGGATCACCAGCCTATAATTCATACCACCAAGAGGAACTAGTATACAAGGTATATTCTAAGAGATTCATGTAAAGTCCCTCAAAGAACCAGAAGGGATGAATCCCCCTGTGCTCCTGGGAAAACTAATGGAGAAAGTAAGAGAAAATGTGGGAGAGGAAAGAAAACACGTGCGACCCAGGAAGATTGAGCCCAGTTAGGAATAGAAGACAAAGAGAGAGAGAAAGAGAGAGAGACATAGACGAGAGAAAGAGGGGAGAACACAAAAGAGGGAGCCAATATTGGTTTGAAGATAAAATTGAACATAAAGAAATGTCTAGAGAACTACAAGACTGCCACCAACTAACATATTGAGCTTCCGTGGAAAGGCTACCTAAATGCCCATCCCAGAGATTGAGGTCAACAACTAACTTTTCTATGGAAACCTCATCTAATGTCTGTTGGAAACAGGAGCAAATACTCATACATACACTGAGTAGAACTAGAACCCAGATGGAGATGGAAAGGACAAGGCCAGGCTGCAGAAACACACAGAGACAGCTTACCTGAGCAAGGGAGGTGCTAACAGGGCCCTCAGATTGATAGCTGGTAGCCATCATGCAGACTTCCAACAAGGTCTCACTGAATATGAGTCTCTGCAGAAAGACTGAACAGTCTAAGGGACCTCAGACCCCAGTGGAGCCAGGATGTATCTCTGGTGCACAAAGGACCTTGTGAACACATCCCCCTTGGAGGGATAACTGCCTTAACCTAGAGACAGGAGAGAAGCCCTAGTTCCTACTTCATATGACCTGTCAGATCTACATGACCCTAACTGGATGGCATCACACTACATATGGTATTGGTGTGTGGGGATGGGAGGGAGGGTGGTTTGGTGCGGTGAGAGGCAGAGAAGTAAAGTGAGGGAGGAAGGGAGGATTGAGAGGAGGGAGAAGAAGTGAGGGAAGGAGGAAGAGTAGAGGAAAGGAAGGAGGGAGAGGAAGAAGGGGTACTGGGATGGACATGAAAAATAATAAATTAAATAAAAAATATTTGGCTCCTGAAGTGTAAGTCAAAAGGACAAGTTACTGGGGCAAGGATTTCTATTTTGTTTCCACAGAATGAAAAATTGTGGATTCCTGTCAGACTAATGTGGTTTGATCAAGGCACACCACCCTTAAACAGAGTAGCAGGTGATCTGCCCATTCAAAAACAGCTGGACCAAAGCAAGCCTTACAGACTACAGCAAGGTTTTCTGTATCTTCTTAGAATCCCCCATGACAGAGCCCCTTACCAGCAGAGAGGTGGATTTGAAAGAATGATGCCCAAATTCCCAAATATTGTCTAATGATTGTTTTCATTTAAATAGACTTGGTTATAAAAAATAAATAAAGAAATATATAAAAAGAAATTGAAATTTTCATGGGGCGTGTGTTGAGTTATGTGTAAAGATATTATGTAAATAAAAAAGTACATGTGCTATTATAAGCTAATGGTTACCATATTAAGAACAATGGAAATGGATGATGCATCTGCAGATGTATTTCAGGCCTGACATGTCATGATTGTCTTAGAGCCAGCTATAAATGTCAATAGCACAAATGAAAAACAAATCTTTTCTGTTGCATTTATACAAGTTTAAGGAGATTTTCCCATCATGAGAAACTATTATATACTTGTCGACCTATTTGCAGTCCAGACAAGTAGATAGGAACATGTCAGTATATTTGAATCTGCAAATGGTCAGGACATAAAGGGAAAACTCATAAATATTACTGGTATAATTCTTGAGTATCATGTCATAGATTTCAGGCCATTTAACCACTCCATTCATGCTGTGAACGATTTTATACGGATGTCAGCTAGCCATCTGTGTGTATAAGGTTAGTTTTGACACCAAGTATGAGGCTACTTTTTTCATAGGGATAAGGGGTGGTATTGTATTCCTGTAGCCTATTTTCTATCCAGACAAAGGGAGTGGGACATATAAGTGGTATTTGGATTGAGGGAAACCTGAAAATAAAAGGAGAAATCACTAATTTCCTGGTTTAACTTCTAGGTGAGCCATGGTACTCAATATAGGAGTCCAGGAAGAGTGCAACCAAACACGACCCCGGATAAGTTTTGGGCATTGGCATCTACCCGTGGATCCACAAGGAGTTTCTTGGTTTCATCAGACCAAGACTTGAGCTCTTGTGCGTTGTGATATTTATTAAGTATACTGCACCTGGCATTAATACTCATTGTTGACTTGCAGCCTTCTGTGAAGTCGTACCGAACACGTGCCAGGGATTGATGGCCCACATGTTCCTACCATTTCGCAGGTTCAGGCAAGACATGGTATTTTCAAAGCCTGCCTGGGCTATATGGACAGAATGTGCCTTCAAAACCTGGTAGAACTGAAAAGGCATACACTATTAAAAGCACTCACTGCTCTTCTGAAGCCTGGATATGATTCCCAGAAACTCTGTGGTGGCTCACCACCCATCTTAACTCTAGTTCCAAGAGATCTGATGTCCTATTCTGCCCTTCAAGAACGGTGACTGAAAACAGCCTGCAGACATACATGCAGTGAAAAATGCCCCTTTATATGAAATGGAAAAAAAATGCCTAACAAAAACAACAGAAAATAAAGAAAAAAAGCAGTATCTCCCACATCAACTTTTACACCTTTTAGATGACATTCCAAACTTGTTTACTTGGAATGCTCTAACTCAGACTTCCATCCTGCAAATCATTGTGAGATCTTCATTTTTGTATCTATATTACTTTTCACATACAGCCTTGATTTTGTTCATTGTGAACATGTCCTCATCTCAAAAGTTTTCCCATTTGTGTGTGTCTGATAAAAGTGTCTTTATTTTTCCACTCCAGAAAGGTTTTCCATTAGAGATGATTCCAGTCTTGATCCCACTGTATTGACAATGTCTGGCCACATACCGACAGGACTAGTGCCACTATCTGAACTCTAGTCCATGTATTCAAGGCCATTGGCTCTACCTACCTCCTGGTGCATATCTATTTCATAAAGAAGTGTCTATCTATCTAGATCAGCATGAACTGAGTTTTTGTTTGAGAGTGAGCTAGGGAGAGTGTAACTGCCCCCATGTTTATTAATTTGTGCTGAACTAGTAAACCCTAGTTAGGAGAGCTAATGGCGGCACCTACACACAAGTGGAAACCTGGGGCTGTTCCATAGATTTCTGGAATGTCATGTGGAATGCTTTCTTCTGTGCCTGACACTCCAGGAAAGTAGTAGTGAAGCTGACTACCTCACTGACGTATATTGTCACTCTGTTACAGGAGACACATTTGCCCACCTCTGGCTATGGTGCATGACTGCAGCTGGCCGCCTTGACAGCTCCTCCACTTGTTCCTGAGCTTAGAGGACCCGAGGACCCTGCCTTTGCAGTGGATCCAGAGGCCAAAGATCCACCACCCACTCCTCCAGGAAACATCTGGCTGGAGGTCCTGGATTGTATGTCCCACCAGTGGACTTTGTGGGCCCACCATTTCCGCCAATGCCAGGTAGGTTTTGTTTTAAAGTCTTGAGTATGTTTCAATGTTGATCTCTGCTTTCCTTAAAATTTGGTTCCAGATTCTGTGAGAAACAGTGGCCAGAAACAACTTGATAGGAGAAAATTCGTGAGGATCTCAGTTTACGGTCCAACAGTCTTTGATGTCAAGGCTTCACCTTGATACACATTGTGGAATTTGAAAATGAATTGTGTTCTGCCAGGCCAGTAAAACTGTAAATTTCCAAGTTGTGTCTGTTTTATTGCCTGTTTTTCTTTTCCTACTCCACCTCACATGGTGAGCCTGTCCCAAGAATTTTCTGTTCATCCAGGCCTACCTAATATCATAGATAGCCACATATATTTTATTCCCAGGTGCGGAGAGTAAATTCCTGGGTCCACATGCCCATCTGCAAACCGTTTTCAGATGAAATTTCTGTCTTCATTGATGAGAATGTAACAAAGGCCAATATAGCATGTAATGACTCGATGTTTTGGCTAGAAATTCCAGAGTCAATTACGTCCCAAAGTTTTCCCCCAAAGTCTGTTCCCACCCAATCATGTTTAAAATCTAAAATACATTTACTATTTTGTTGCTGTGAATCATGTATCCATGTGTCTATAACATGAAGAAGAAAGAAGATCAATCAGTGCTCCTAGAGTGTCTCCTCTCTGCCATGGCCTCTAGTTTTATGCACCTAGGTGAATGATATGCCTTTTGGGGTGCAGTGCTTTCTCTGACACATTACAGAAAATTTCAATTTTAGGATGTCAGGTTGGTCTCATGACAGGAATGAAAATTCTAAAAATTTACTCCATTGAAAACTCTTTTACCTTAAGTCTTCAGTGCCCTGAGATCTCATATAGCTCTTTAGATAGGACAAGTGCACCTAAAAGTGTTAGGGATGTTATTTCTTATAAATGCTATGTACTTAACAAATTACATATTTTCACTCAAGATTTATTCGTTTGATCATATATTGTGGTTTATTGAACATCAAAAACATGGTCTGAGAACACTAGTACCATAAGTGAACTGTACAAGGGTTCACCTTCACTGTCTATTACTAAAAATATTGGATCCTGAAACGTGGAGGTGCCCGTGTCACATTCCATCTTCACTTTCCCCAAAGAGAGGCACAGTGTCCTCACCCTCACCCATCATGAAAGTATATATGAGCCCCCACCAGACTCGATGCCCCCTTGCCAGCAATAAGCTCCCGAAAGTGCAAACTGCACATGCAGGCACATCCTGAAACACAAGGAGACCTGGCACTTTCCATGGCAGTCATTCTTCTCATTGGCCTGTAGGTGACTGCTGTTCCTTCTGCACTGCTGCTTTCTCATTACCTAATGCAATTAAATTTCAGATTAGTTTTTGAAGGAAGTGTGATATGATTACTAATCTTATGAGTAGAGATTCCCTTTGCTTTCAATGGATAGTATCTTTTAATTGGATTATTATGCCCCCCCCCCCTACAGTCTGAGTATTTAGGGGATATCTTCACCACTACTATCTATTTCTTTAGACCAGGAATGTGTAGAAACATCTGGTTCCAGACAAACGTATAGGTACCTGCAGCTATATTCACTCAAGTTTTAATTGAAGTAAAGTCTTATTTGGCAGTGTTAATATTAAACCCAGGCAGTGTCCCATCAACATGGTTCCATAGTAGGTATATTTTACTCTTGCTTCCAGATAGAAGGTCTGGCTGGAAAAAAATGTTAGGTGACTGGTTAGTACTGGCTCCTCAGCAGAACTGAAGACATGGGCTTTGTTTCCAGCATCTACATAGAGCTTCTGTGCAATGCACTATTCTTTCTTGGCCTGGAAGTATGCCCTGGTAGCAGCCCTCTCCTTGGCAGATATCCAGCATGTATGTTGGAAATGCTTCCATCTTCTTTCTGTGTATCACATTCATGTGTGAGGCATGTGAAGGACAGAAGAAGCCAGCAGAGACCCTGGAGATTGCAGTTACAGATGGCTGTCGGCTGCAGTGTAGTTTCTGTGAACCAAGCACGGGCCCTAAGGAAGAGTCGACTTTTCCCCTTTTGACCCATTTGACCACACAGCTCATGTGCTGTGACGATATGTATGGTAGCCAGCTAATGTGTGTGTATGTGTATGTGTCAGATTATTTTTGATGCCATAGTAATGCCTTCCATTATAGAGCCCTTGACCCAAACTCTCCTGAGGTTCCATGGGTTTCTATCATCTCATCCCCCCCCAGATGTCCAGGCCATTTTTATATCCATCCCGTTTCCCTACAACGATATGAAGCCCCTGCCGAAGTCAGTGGATATTTAGCGACTACCTGTAAAATCATTTGTTTTCTTGTTCTTAATTACTTATCTTACTCCATCATTTCATATTTAGTAGATTTAATCTGTGGGGATGCCTGCTTCTATCACTCATTATACACTGAATCAGGAAAGGTGTTTATATGTTGTAGTTATAAATGCAATAGTTTAAAGAAAATAAAATAATATTAAGTGGGAACTTCATTGTATATTTGTTGTGTTATGTGTAAGAGTACTCGAACATAACAATTTTATATCCAGTCCTGAAAGGAAAGGTTGGCATACCATGCAGACAGGACATGAATGCTGAATCTCTAGTTGTTCTTTAAGGCCAGTAGGCATGGTGCCTAGGCCAGCTGTACATCATCATAACACACTTCAAACCCATATGTGTTCTATCAGTAAATTCTCCCATGTCTGAGGCTGATTTGTCACTGTGATAGACATTGCTATCGTATTCCTGTCGCCCCTGTATTCTATCCCGACAAGGGGAGTTGAACATGTCTGGTGGTATTTGGATTAGGATACCTCCTGAAAATAAAGGGAGAACTCATGAATTTTCCTGGTTTAACTTCTAGGTGAGCCAGTGTACTCAACATTGGGTCGGGAAGAGTGCCACCAAACCACGACCCCATGGTAAGTTTTGGGCACTGGCCATCTACCCGTGGATCCACAAGGAGTTTCTTAGTTTCATCAAAACAAGACTTGAGCTCTTGTGCGTTGTGATATTTATTAAGTATACTTGCACCTAGCATTACTACTCATTGTTGACTAGTAGCCTTCTGTGAAATCGTACAAATCCTGGACCCAGGGATTGATGGCTCACATGTTCCTAGCATTTCGCAGGTTCAGGCAGGAGCATGGTATTTTCAAAGCCTGCCTGGGCTATAGGGACAGAATGCGCCTTAAAAACCTGGTAGAACTGAAAAGGCATACACTATTAAAAGCACTCACTGCTCTTCTAAAGACCTGGATTTGATTCCCAGAAACTCTGTGGTGGCTCACTACCCATCTACTAACTCAGTTCAAGGGATCTGATATCCTATTCTGCCCTTCAAGAACAGTGAGTGGAAAACAGCATGCAGACATACATGCAGTCAAAAATACCCTTTATATGAAATGGGAAAAAATGCTAACAAATACAACAGGAGAAATAAAAAGAAAAAAAAATTTTATCTCCCACATCAACTTTTAGAACTTTTAGATGACATTCCAAACTTGTTTACTTACCCAATGCTCTAATTTCAGACTCTCCTTCTGCAAGTGTCTGAATCTTAATTTGTATCTATATTACTTTTCACATACAATCATAATTTTTTTGTTCATTTGTGAACATGTCCTCATCTCAAAAAAGTTTTCCCATTGTGTGTGTCTATAAAAAAAAATATCTTTTTTCCCCACTCCAGAAAGGTTTTTCCATTAGAGATGATTCCAGTCTTCGATACCACTGTATTGAGCCCCCAATGTGGCCATACTGACAGGATATACCACTATCTGAACTACCCTAGTCCATGTATTGAGGCCATTGTACTTTACCTACCTCCTGGTGCATATCTATTTCATAAAGTGTCTGTCTATCTAGATCAACATGAACTGTTTTTTGTTTGAGAGGGAGCTAGAGTGTAACTGCCATGTTTATTGATTTGTGCTGAACTAGTAAACCTAGTTAGGAGAGCGATTACGCGGCAACCTACACCCACAGTTGGAAACCTGGGGCTGTACATGGGTTGCTGGAATGTCATGAATGCTTTCTTCTGTGCCTGACACTCCCAGGAAAAGAGTAGTGAAGCAAGACTTCACCTCCAATGACAGCATATTGTCACTCTTTTTACAGGAGACACATTTGCCCACCTCTGGCTATGGTGCACATGATGCAGCTGGCCATGACTTGGACTCCTCCACTTGGTCCTGAGCTTAGAGGACCCCAGGGCCCTGCCTTTGCAGTGGATCCCAGAGGCCAGATCCACCACCCCCTCCTCCAGGAAACATCTTTGGAGGTCCCTGGATGGTATGTCCCACCAGGGGGCTTTTTTGTGGGCCCACCGTTTCCTCCAATGCCAGGTAGGTTTTGTTTTAAAAGTCTTGAAGGTATGTTTTTCAATGTTGATCTGTGCTTTCCTTAATATTTGGTTCTAGATTCTGTGAGAAACGGTGGCCAGAAACAACTTGATGAGGAAAGGGTCGTGAGGGATCTCAGTTTACGGTCCAACAGTCTTTGATGTCAAGGCTTCACCTTGATACACATTGTGGAATTTTGAAAATGGTGTGTTCTGCCAGGCCAGTAGAACTGTAAATTTCCAAGTTGTGTCTGTTTGTGCCTCTTTTCTTTTTTTTCTCTCCACCTCATGGTGTGCCTGTCCCAGTAAAGTTTCTGTTCCTCAGTGCCTCCCTAATATCATAGATAGCCACATATATTTTATTCCCAGGTGCGGAGAGTAAATTCCGGAGGCCACACATGCCCAGCTGCAAACCATTTTCAGATGAAATTTCTGTGTCTTCATTGATGAGAATGTAACGAGACCCAATATAGCATGTAATGACTCGATGTTTTGGCTAAAAATTCTGGGTCAATTCCCTTCAAAGTTTTCCCCAAAGAAATTGTTCCCACCCAATCATGTTTAAAATCTAAAATACACTTACTATTTTATTGCTGTGAATCATGTATCCATGTGTCTATAACATGAAGAAGAATAAGAAGAACCAATCAGTTTT